GATGAAGAATTCCCTGCAGAATTCTTTGATTCAAAAATGGAGAAATGATGGTGATTGAAGTAGCCCTTTATCACTACTTTAATAAAGAAATTTATTAAAGAAAAACTGTGGCTACTAAAGACAAGAAATAATATGAGAAAGTCTCCATTATTGTGACCACTTATCCACTAGTTGACACAAGTGGCAGACAAATTCAAAAGATAAGGCACATAATTTTCAAAAGAGAGGTCCACATAGCAAGAAGACAATGAAGAATTCGGTGGAGATAAGATGCCTTGCTACCTAACAAAGAAAGTGGAAAACACCTGTCCAAGATAAGATTCCAAACTCTCCTATAAAAGGGGACATGCAGGAAGAAGGAAGAAATCTCGAAAAAATCTATCTCTATTCTCTGAGAACACATTAGAGAAAATTCTTTTGTAATCTGATTACACTACTTGTATTCAGAAAAATATTAGATCATGATTCCTCGGCAGTACAGATAGAGATTTTAAAAGATTTTCAAAATATTGATTTTGAATGGATGTTAGCCATGCTAAAGTACCCGTCTTTGATGAATGGTTTAGGGGAAAATGGTAGTTTTCTAACAAAAAATTGTAGCATCTTGTGTGTGAGTTATCTTTTAAAATTTCGTTCCAAGTAGGAACTTGATTCTGAAAAGAGTTTGGATAGAGGTGAAAACAGAGACTCTGGATACTGTGAGATAGCGTCTGTGGAAACACGGCTAGTTCTCTAGAATGAGAAATGCAACCTTAATTGAAAAGCCTTTTGCGGAAGCAGTTGTGGACCCAAATAATTTCAAAAACATTTTAAATCTTTACTTGATTCAGAAGATTGATTAAGTACATGCAAAGCATCTATAAGAGCATACTGGAGGGAAAACCTGTTTATTCCACTTGATTACTGTAAGTTATTTACTTATTTTTATATGCTTATGCTTTAATTATCTTTGATGAGCAATTCACAAGCATCCACTTCTACTGTTAATAATGATAAAAATCTCATTTTATTTTTAGATGAAGAAGATGTTTCTTTTCTGCTTAAATTAGATGTAAAATCTGATGTTATATTCCCTATTGGTAAAGAAAAAATTGAAGAAATATATAGAGATATAGATTATAGTTGTAAGAATAATATAGGATTTGATTCTGTGAAAACTTATAGAGAAATAAGAAAAGTAGAAGATATTATAACTAAACATACGGATATACAAGAAGAAATTTCAGAAGGATTATTTAAAGGATATATAACTAAGAAAGGCCAACCTATAATCTTTGAAGAACTATTAAAATATAAAGAATATTTAAAGGTGTTCAAAAGATTGAAAAATATAGATATAGGACCTGATTGACAATTCCTTAAAGATATAAGATAAATCTTGCAAATAATTTCATTAAGGGCAATATAGTACTTTTGGTAAGAAAGGCTATTGTGAAAAATAGGAAGAATCTACTAGCCATTTTTAAAGTTGTCCCGAGAGAGAGAGAGTGATATAATTAGGATTTGAAATTGCTTAATTAATTTTTAAATATATAAATTAATTAAAAAAAATTTGATTTGTGAAATATTAAACATTGCACCTTATTTATGAAATGAAGATTTTTAATCTATTAGAATCTGTAATTTTCACTTTTTTTTTAGCCCATTAAAATTTCACATCTAATCTAATAAGGAAATGAAATTTAAATTTAATGTAAAAGTAATTCGGAAACAATTCAAATTACATATAATCTATAATGATTCTAAAATTTTTGATGTCATCTTCATGTAAAATTTCCTAATAAAATGATGTCAATATATTGAAAAATTTATCATGCAAAATTAATAAACGTCAATGAAATAATTGATTTTTTTTAAAGAATATACGAGTTAGACACTTCTTTTAAGACGTGCGTTTGAAGTATATTTAACTATTTTCGATATTCGTTTGACCATTCAATATGACTACAATGTAGTCCTTGAAACGAACTTCTAGATAACGTAGGCAATTTTTGGATTAGGATAGTATACGATCATCAACGAATTTTGAAAGTTAGCATATTATCAAAATATTAGTTTGGAACGGCCTATTTTGATGCATTGTAACTCATGCCATTGACGACTAAAAAAATAGTCCATGAGCACTTTGAAATAGTATTAAAAATGTAATATTTCGATTTCATTTGGCATCATACAGTGAATGTGTCAAAGTATATCTAAGAGAAGGTCAAAACAATTACTTTCTGGGGAAAAAATTTGGGGTTAAAAAAAATTTTGAAGTTATTTGATCCTACATGACCCCATGTAAGTCTGCCCTGGTGTTGAATGAGGTCATGCCCAAATCATTGTCTTGGACAATTCTAGTGTATGCGAGATCAAGCTAATCTTTGTTTGCAAGTAAGGTGAAATGTATCTTAATGCCAATTTACTTAAAAAACTTTAGCCCCGCAATGTAAATGTGTCAACATAAGCTCCAAAGAAAGTTACTCTTTTACAGAGTTAAGACTTCTTAAAAAAAGTAAATTTTATTTGTTAAAAAATGTAATGGACCAATGGTTAGTGCTCTTTGAATATAATGGATAGATCTTTAATTCGTGTTTGTATGTTTGACAAAAACAATTTTCATTCTTTTTAAGCTCGACCAAATATGTTCACATCATTAACATGTCAACATAGGAAGGATACAAATCCTAGATTTTCAAATTGAGTTACAAATAAGAAGGCACCGTTCGTTAGATTGATGGAACCAAAACAAGGAAAGAAATTACAGACAACATACCCTTATGTTATCAGGGATCTATACACATAATAAGCTTTTAATGTGACCGGATCCACACAATACAAGTCTCTAGTTTAATGTAGGTTTATTTTCCATTGTAATGGCAGTGGAACCAGAACATTTAACTGAACATTCTGATTAAAACACGCTGAGGATGCTCAAAGCTAGAGACTTTCTTGGAGCTTCAACATATTGAAACTCCATTGCTTCGTCGGATAAGATCAAAAGCACTTGCCAAAAATACAGGGAACGTGAAAAGTCCCAGAATCCCTAGAAGACAGGTTTTTTAGCATTGCCAATGCAAGTTGTACCTGAAATTTGATTAGGGACAGGACAAAACTAGGGACTTCACTTCCACCCTTGTGCAGAGTTTTTGCTAGAACCGATCCAACCAATCAAATATACTGTCTTGAGAAGCAAATTGTAAATCCTGAAAGCATCAATCAGGATGATAAGGGTAATGAATTAATGATGTCATGTTTTTGGAATCAATTTTATTAAAAAGATAAATACGAGCCACGGGAGGAAGAGCTTACTTCAAGCTGAAAATCTGGTGGAGTGTCCAGTTCTAAGTTCTCGAGATCAGCAGCTCCAAAGGTACCATTTCCATCTCCCAGTGGTAAGTTGGTTATGTTGTGAGCAACTTGAGTGTACGACGAAGGTTTTGGCTTTAAATCACTCAAATGTGCATAAGAATCAATTATCTCGTTGCATAATAGTGGATCATCCATATCAACAGCTTGGGATTCTCCAGCCAAACTAGTGGTAAAGTCGATTTGATCATTCGACTGAGGATAAGATGAAGGATGAGACAACTCTTTGAAAGTCACCAGTTCCTGCTTCAGATTACAATAATTACGACATCTATCAGGAAATATTTGATTTCAAGAAGTTCAGATATTTAGTTAAAAATGCTCTATTTACAAATAAATTAAACGTAAGCTGATACCTATGTTTTCAATTAAGAGCGGGCAAAAAGATCTTAAATCCATCTACCCACACATTTCCCTTCACAAAGATGCGACACATGCAGAGTGGGGAATGCCAAGTCAAATATTAACCTTTTAACACAATCATGGGTCAACAATTTAGCTGAAAGGGTCTTTCATCAACTAATGACATCATCATTATAGAGGAAAGGATTTATTCTTCCACATTAAGGAAACTCAGTACTGTATTCGGTTTCTATATCTTGAGCTAAATCAAAACAAAATATACATCAAAGGAACAGGTACTTAGTTTACTAATCTTTAATAATAATTGAGATATTATTAGAGTTTTCCGATAGGCATTATGAATCCTCATGTTGCATTCAACAAGTTTCTTGTGCATCAATTTCGAAAAAAATTCCCACAAGACAAATCCAGAAAGCCAATCAGTTTTCAATTAATATGTAGCCACCAACCTGGAGAGGTGACTGGATCATCCCCATATCAGATTCTTCATCAGGAGTTTCCACTGGTCGAGGGGGAAAGGGAATATAAGTATTTGGAGTCTTGGGACTTGTGTGGATTGTCCCAATATCAGATTCTTCAAGATTCAAAGAAGTCTCATTCTTGTCAGTCTCCTTCTGTGGTTGGTACGAAATCTTCGAAACCACATATTCTCCTTCCCTCTCATCTTCATCAGTCCCCAGATGGAACTGATGCATAACCCATTTACATTTATTAGGCTTGGATCCCTTCTTTGAGGTTTCATAGAGAACCATGATTTTCTTCCAACCTTTTTGTTTCCCGTTTTGCATCACAGCTTTGGTCTTACCTGTCTTATGCCAGCGGACATGTCCTTTTTCTGCACTTTCTTGGACATGGATCCTTCGGCGTTTACGCCGACCACTAGCATATGCGTTGATTGTCCGATAAAAGAAGTGGACGCTGCTTCCATCATTTTTAACACCTGAAACAAATCTAGTTGATGATACATCACATTGATCAAGTCCTAATTCACATGAAATTAAAACTCAAATTTGAATACCATATTGTAACAAAATATGTTGGAACCAGTAACCGTAATACCTATTTTACAATCTGAGATTTTCCACCTTACACACTCTACGTTTCAGTTGTACCCAAGCGATGCTACACATGCTAAAATTGCCTTCACACCTTGCTAGAAGTCACTATGCACTCTCCCTGAGGGCTAGACAAACAATCCTGACCTGTATCTCACATACACCCGCTCTGATACCAGGGTAAAGATCATGTGCCTATTTTACAATCTGAGATTTTCCACCTTACACACTCTACGTTTCAGTTGTACCCAAGCGATGCTAGACATGCTAAAATTGCCTTCACACCTTGCTAGAAGTCACTATGCACTCTCCCTGAGGGCTAGACAAACAAACCTGACCTGTATCTCACATACACCCGCTCTGATACCAGGGTAAAGATCATGTGCTTAACTAATCACTTTCAAACTGGTTAACAATGTGAGGTTTTCCTTCACCTTATAGACTCTCAATAGTACCAAGACAATGTGGGACATGCTACATGGAATTTAAGTTAGTGAACCAAAGAAGTTTGTCATCTAATAAACAAACACATTAGACCAAGACATTTATTAGGACTATTTTATTACATCAGTTTTAAGTTGAGGATTATGCTCAAGTGAAAGCTCTCTATTACAGTTCCCCTCCTAACAAGCATATTATTGCACAAAATCAGGCAAGAATCTCAAGGTAATCCGGTGTAAAGTACACTGCTATTTGTGCTTAAAAGTAAGTCAAACTAACGTGTAAGTTACTTACTTTGCCAAACATGATTTGCAAATTTACTCTTTTAGTAACAAAACTTGCTTTTAGTTGAGATTGACTTTCTAAAAAAGTAACTTTTAAGTACAGCCAGCCAAACATGATATTGGCAGAAGAAAAACAAAAACAACTCCCGCATGATTTATCTAAGAGTCAGGAGTCAGGTTAACTCACCAGGAAGATTTTCTGGATGGGTGTAGCATATCCCTTCTTCACCTTCAAGTGTCGGGATGAATTCATCAATAAACATGTGTGGCTTCGAATTCCCTATCCCACACTTTGCAGCCAAATGTTCTATCAGCTCTTCATCGGATGGATCAAACTTCACTCCAGCAGGGAGGCCAGGCCACTCTTGAGAAGCCTGCACATGAGGTGATTGTAAGTCATATTCAAGACTAAATTTTTACATGC